ATTTTTAAAAGAAAAATAAATTATAATGGTTCTATTAATAAATATAAAACTAGTTGCTAAAGGTTTTAAACAAAAAAGAATACATTGATTATCTTGACACATATGCACATATGTGGCAAGGATTGCTACTATTAGATTGTTCTTAGCAATAGCCTCTGTCAATTATCTAGTCATACATCAAATGGATGTAAAAACCACTTTCTTAAATGAAAAAATATATGTGGAACAACTCAAAGGGTTTGTAATGTCAGGTCATGAGAATAAAACTTGTAAATCAGTTAAATCTCTTTATAGACTAAAACAAGCACCTTAACAATGGCATAATAAATTTGACACTGTGTTGATGTCTAATGGTTTTAAGAGAAATGAAGCTGATAAATATGTGTATAGTAACAAAATAAATTGTTTATGTGTTATTATTTGTTTATATGTAGATGACATAATTATCTTTGGCTCTAATATAGAAATTGTGGAGGAAACTAAAATGTTTATTGCATCTAACTTTGATATAAAGGACTTTAGGAGAGGTTGATGTGATACTTGATATCAAAATAGTGAGAAAAGAAAAAATATTTTTTTTGTCTCAATCTCACTACATTGAGAAAATGCTTAATAAATCAGTCTCTACCCCTATAGATCTTCATATTAAGTTAACAAATAATAATAAGAGATGTATATCTCAACTTGAAGATGCTATGGTAATTGGTAGTTTAATGTATGCAATGACTAACACGAGGCCTAACATTACATATGATGTGGGGAAACTTAGTAGATATACAAGTTAACCAAGTAAAGAACATTGAAATGCTATATCTCGAGTGGATTTTCCCAGAGCGTTGAAAGGGTATGATGTGGGGAAACTTAGTAGATATACAAGTTAACCAAGTAACGAACATTGAGATGCTATATCTCGAGTGGATTTTCCCAGAGTGTTGAAAGGGTATAGTGATGTTAATTGGAATAATGAAATTCAAGATTCACTATCAACATCCGGATGGATATTTACACTAGCAGGTGGTGTGATATCATAGGGGTCAAATAAACAAATATGTATTTCATGCTCTAGTATGGAGTATGAAATTATTTCTTTAGACTATGTCGGCAAAGAGGCCGAATGGCTAAAGAATTTGTTATATGACATTCTCATTTGGCCAAAACGAATACATGCAATAACAAATATATTGTGATAATCAAGCTACTATTGCGAGAACTTGTACTGATGCATATAATGGAAAATCTACACATATTGCGAGAATGCATAACTCTATTAAAATATTAATTGGAGATGGAGTAATTAGTGTAGAATATGTATGATCAAAGGAAAAGTTGGCTGATCCTTTAACTAAATAACTTACAAGGGATGATATTAGTAAGATGTCAATACAAATAGGGCAAGAGTCCATTGAATAATCATCTACAGTGTGAACCCAACTTAGTATTTTGTAACTTCAAAATTCTAAGTTCAATGTGATAAAAACAAAATGTATGTATGCTTAGTTTGGTCACTAGACGACAAAATATAATAAGCATCAATTTTAAGAAAATCCATACATTGGATAAGTCTAGTGATGACTTGTATGTTAGTAGGATGAGTTATGCTCTTAATGTTGTCTATGGATTATATTTATAAGTTGGAGTATTTTATATACAGTGGCACTCTTAATAAACACACCTACATAAGTGTGGAAGTGAGGCCGCTTCCTATGAGATAGACTCGTATCTAGAGCACTTATAAAATCGAGATATAAGCACAAAGGCTAAAACATGCTGACAGCAAAAAAGACACCAGAGTTGAATATTGTTTGTGAGTTATACTGTTGGTCTGTTAGATAAGCAACTTCGTTCAAAGCTATACGTTACCACGATACTTGATAGACTTTGTAGTGTACACTCTAACTGCAAGTTCAAATCGAAAGATACTTTTATGATATGCAAATAATATATTTCCCATGTTTTGTTTTGTTATTTGAAATAGTGGAGGAAATTATTAGTATTTTTTGTTTGAAAAATGCTTAAGTATATTTCAAATCAACAACTTTGGTTTTATGGTTTTCCTAAATTGCTTTGTAGAGAGAGAAAGATGTGGTTTTAAGTCCTACATTGAAGAGAAGATAGTTTGTTGAGTTGTATTTAAGAGCACGTGTTCCCATGCTATACACTCTAAGTACAAAGGAAATAAAAGGTGCATGTGCAGAGCACACGAAACGTATGATACACACGTGTGTGTGCATGTGTGAGTGCGAACGCATGTGATGCACACGTGCATGTGCATGTAAGAGTGCGAAGGTGTGGATGCAAGGGCGCTTGATGGCGCACTTTGCACTTGGGATCCAACGGTCATCTAGGACTCCATGAGTGTGGAACATCCAATGGTCATCTAAGCCATCTAGCATATGAGTGTGGGACTTCCAACGGTCATCTAGCACTCAATGAGTGTGGGACATCCAAAGGTCATCTAGCACTCGATGAGTGTGGGATATCCAACGGTCATATAACCATCGATGAGTGTGGGATATCCAACGGTCATATAACCATCGATGAGTGTGGGAGTCATTTAGCCGTTGATGAGAAGGAGGCTTGTAACAGCAGCCCTCAAGTGCATGTAACTCATGTAAATTATAGCTGTTGAGGTGCATGTAACTCATGTAACTAGTGCATGTAACTCATGTAACTTATAGCTGTTGAGGTGCATGTAACTCATGTAACTTATAGCTGATAGGTGATGCATGTAATTACCACAATAAGCCCTCCTTCCCATATGTTTTAAGAACACTTAGAATAATTTTTTTGCCTCTCTCAATAGACTATTATCTACAATTCCAGCAAAAAACTAGTGGGCTAACTCTCTCTCTACTCGATTTTATCTTCTTCTCTCTCTAAACTATCAAGATTCTGGTGTCTATTGTGTAGGTTCCAAGCTTGGATGCATAGAACATAGGAACATTGAAAAAGACCTATCTGTTTTCTTGTATCCCGAGAACGAATTACTCTTCTTATGCACATCAAATAATCTATCAAAAGGGGACAAACAAGAAGAGTTCGAGATCCTATTTTTACAAATTATAACATTTTCTGCCCCTATTTTACCGAAACCAATCTCCAACATCATTTTCAAGAAATTCTAATCAAATATTATAATAAGGGTGCAGTT